TTCGATAAAATCATCATTTAATATCTCATCGGGAATCGTATATACAAAATAATCAGTTGTCATTAAATTTGATCTAGCACTGTAATAACATTTTTGATAGGGCATTGGCTAAGTGAAACCCATTTCATGTTATATGGAAAAATATCTTGCCTTTCTGTTCAATCGTGCCTTTCTGTTCAAGTTTGAACGATTAATTTTTACTGTTCGAAATTTCTATTGCTTCGGAGTGTTTGAAACAAATCTCACAACTACTTTCTTCACTCATTACTGAAAAATATAAATATAGTCCTTCTTTTGATATCATGACTTATTGCACCGACATAATTACCAATCACGGTAGTTATCAAAATATTCTGAGTCACGTAATTCCCTATGTACCCCTACAAGATACCACTCCCGGAACTATAAGATCAATGAATATTACTTGAAGTATTTTCCCAACACCAAACCGTTATTTTAACACCTCGACACGTGTTTCGATCACCAAGTGATCATCTTCAAGAGGAAGATCAAGTTTAGTTTAATCTTCATCTTGAAGATGATCACTTGGTGATCGAAACACGTGTCGAGGTGTTAAAATAACGGTTTGATGTTGGGAAAAAACTGCAGTAATATCAATTACTACATCAAAGGTTCCAAACAGTGCATCATAAGTGGGATCAATATTCATAATTTTCCCAGAAGGTTGTTAATACGCCCTGAAACGGATACTCTGGCTTGCGCAAGACACACACTTCGGACTTTTGAAGGAAAAATATTATTTCAACTTATTAAAATATCAAAATTAGGAATTGAAAAAATTCAGGCACCTACTGGATGTATGAATGAAAAATAATTCATGGTTTTCCACTTTTTTTTTTCTGTTTAAGCTTTCGAGCCCCTTATTGTCTCTTCATCAGGAACTCTAAAATAATTATTGAATGAACAAAGGTATGGACAACGTGTTTATACTTACGAAAGTGATATTAAAATGAAGTTTGCAAAAAGATCCTCATATTTGTAAGTCAAGATTAAAATTGGTTAAAAACTCGTGCCAATTTATGTTAATCGTGTGCAATTTTCACTCAGATTGGCATTTGCAATGACTTTTGAGTCCCAAGGCCAATGTCCGTTTCTGGCATGGATATGAGCAAATCATATTTTCACACGGACAATAATTATATATAGCATGTTTTTGAGTGGGTAAACCATCAAGTTTGATTGTTCTAGCTGCACATGAACTAACGAGACTAACGGGAAAAGGGATTGATATTATTTGTCAGTGTTATTGTTCTGTCACACACTTATAATGAGTTAGTTAATATTTTCTACCCGAATACATCAGTAATTACTGTGGTTGATTGCAAGACAATAGGCTTTTGGAAAGAGGAATAAGACACCTACATATGTTTTCGAATGAAAATTAGAAAAATTTCTAGAAAAAACTGCATGGATTGTTGTTCTAGGTCTTGTGGTAGGCTCATTTCAGTTATTATTCATTTGTAGTTCTAAGTATACTAAGTATACCAAGAGTGGTCCATCGTTGGACGCGAAATTAACATCGAAATCTCCTGCTGAAATTAGTGGCAACGGTTTTTGCTAATTCTTCAAAGCCTACTGGATTGTAAATGCTCGCACTTCTCTCTCTCTCTCTTGCCCCTACAGTAATATAGAAACATATCTCTCTCTTTCTATCTTCACTAACTTATACCCCCCTTTAAACTTCCGTTCGCCTCGCCTGATCACACTTTTCGTAACTCTCTCGTCCCGCATTGACCCTAAGTCAAGCACGCGTAGAGAAGTTTCACTTCAAAAATTGTTGATTCAATTCGTTGAAAGGACAAGTTGCCACTAATCTGCTATAAGTTTTAATCCAAATTTTTGAAGAAACCGAACTTCCGCAGAACTTCCGGTCAAGCCCTCTGAGCCAAACGTATTAGCGGGCCATAAATCGCACTACAATAAATCAGCACGCTCCCAAATGAGGGGAAAATAACCACAGTTTAATTCAGACAATGAAACGGACATACGCCACTGTTTACAATATAATTTATATGATCTGGTAGCTACAGGCTAACAATGGAGACCTAATAACTGGCTTCATGTATTCAATACAGTCGGGTCGCCCCTCGATGAATAGAGGGATGAAGGGATGGAACTTGATTCATATGTATTTTATAATTAAATTTTGATGTGATTGTTCGGCTGGAAACTCCGAAACTCCAACTCCAATAGGTCTCTTCTCTGATTGTTCGTCTCCACTCGCAATTCGTTTTATTAAATTTATTATTTTGTGTAACATCGTCGGTGCGACGACTCTCAATGGTATCTTTTGTTCAAATTTATTTAAAATTTCATAAGGCTGATATTTTCGAGTGGGGGGCATTGTAATAGTACAAAATTTTCTGATTGATTCGGCCGTTACTTGATGAAGATCCATAGTAAATTCATAAACTACACCTCATGATTTGATTCACAAACTTTATTTGTTATTTGACATGTTTCGCTAACACAATAGCTTTTTCGCTAACTTCAACAGTGATTCAAATCACTGTTGTAGAAGCTACTGTGTTAGCGAAACATGTCGTGGTATATTTTTCAAATAAAGTTTGTGGATATCAAATCGTGAGGTGTAGTTTATGAAAAAATAGTACAAAATATCAAAGGATGCAACTTCTGACTTGACAGTTAGAATTGGATCTCTGGCATACGATATCTTAAGAGATGATTCAAACTAAATCTTACAACTGAAGACGAAGACAACTGTAAATCAATTGAATTAAACTCAACTTTATTTTGTTCAAACTTGCATTTGCTGTAACAACCCAAATTGAGGAACATTCCCCATTTTCCAAAAATAACCACTTCCTAACCGCTACTAACCAAAAGATGGTAGCGTTTACTTCCAGAACCGTCTAGAAAGTGCGTGACATTCTACATAAGACAGAGGTTAGCAAATTTGTTACCGGAAAAGGGCTACTGAAATTGCGCTGATAGCAGCACGCAAATATACTAAGGCTGCAGATGGAAAAAATAAAATTCGCACAACGCGAAAATTTTTGTAAAATTCTACCTCTCATAACAATTTTTGGAGGATTGAACTTGTCGCTCACTTGTCCGGCACAGCACAGCACGGCGCAGTCCGTCACCGTTCAGGTGAATTTCACTTGAAATCGAGCGGTGACAAAAACATGTGTATCAGTCAGCAGTTCTGACGAAGTTGTCATTATATTGGCTGCATTATTGAATTAGAAAAAAATAGTCACAAAAAAGAATGTTGTGGGTCCATCCCATAAATCTGGGAGAGTTTAATCATCTTTTCAACGATCTGAAAGAAGACGAGTATTTCCAAATGACTCCAGGCAAATTTTCAGAACTTCTGGATATTCTTGAGCCTGCCTCAAGAAGCTACTCAATTTTTCCTCGTCTGACACTGTACTGTCAACTGCTAGAATAGCAATATTTGAAGATCTTAATCGAATGCATAACCTAATGTATATAACCCTGATAGTGTTAACCAGTTTTTGAACTCAACGCGAAGATTCTGGATGAATGTTAACCTTTTTTAAGGATTTTTTCAAAAACTTTGTTCAGGTGTGTAGTAAGGGAAATGGGTCTGTAATTTGTAACCACTGTCTCATCGCCGTTCCTGAATAAAGGAATAACTATTGTTTTTTTAGTGCTGTTGGCCAGATGGATAAAGTCTTCGAAACGTCATCAGATAGAGGTAATCTTCGAAACTGACAAGACAAAGATAAATAACACTATAAAAAAATTGTATCCGTTAAAATCTGTTTTTCCGTCAACCAGCTGTCACTCCCCTATGAACGACAGCCCTCAAAAGTCGAAACTTGTGCGAGCTAAGACTAACAAGGTCTCATCTTTCAACGTGTAATTCCTAACACGGGTTGGACGATAGGAAGTGAATATCGATCGTTCGTCCTTGCGGTTCGAACCACCGATTCACACAGAGGTTGACTGAATGATTTCACTTCCTAACGTCCAACCCGTGTTAGGAATCACACGTTAAAAGGTAAGACCTCGTTAGTACTAGTTCTTATGGGTGCGACAGCTGGTTAACCACCACGCTACAGTCCTATCTTCGAAGGCAACTATAATTAATTAACATTTGAAACATCATTTTGAATACTTTTCAAAGTGAATTTAAAAAACTCATGAATTAAACTCAACTTCATTTTGTTCAAACTTGCATTTGCTGTAATAACCCAAATTGAGGAACATTCCCCATTTTCCAAAAATAACTACTTCCTAACCGCTACTAACCAAAAGGTCGTAGCGTTTACTTCCAGAACCGTCCAGAAAGTGCGTGATATTCTACATAAGACAGAGGTTAGCGAATTTGTTACCGGAAAAGGGCTACTGAAATTGCGCTGATATCAGCTCGCAAATATACTAAGGCTGCAGATGGAAAAAATAAAATTCGCACAACGCGAAAATTTTTGTAGTATTCTACCACTCATAACAATTTTTGGAGGATTAAACTTGTTGCTGACTTGTCCGGCACAGCACAGCACGGCGCAGTCCGTCGCCTGATGGCAACGGGTAGCAGCATCGCCCACTTGTCCAGCTACAACCAGTATACTGAAGGTGCTGTTTGTTCGATTTCAGGGGAATTTCACTCGAAATCGAGCGGTGACAGAAACATGTCTATCACTAGCAGTTCTGACGAACAAGTCGTCATTATAATGGCCGCATTATTGAATGTAGAAGAAAATAGTCACAAAAAGAATGGTGTGGGTCCATCCCATTAATCAAAAGAGGGCAAATCTGGGAGAGTTTCATAATCCTTTCAACGATCTGAAAGAAGCGAGGCCAAATTTTTCCAGTATTTCCAAATGACTCCAGGCAAATTTTCTGAACTTCTGGACATTTTTGAGCCTGCCTTAACAAGCTACTCAATTTTTCCTCGTCTGACACTGCGCTGTCAACTGCTAGAATAGTCGAAGAAAGATAAATTGGCTCTCCCCTGATCAAACATTGTCACATTCAATTCATCAAATTTTTTTATGTTGTTCATATGTTTGAACTCTGAGTATGAACATTAATACATAATAAAAAAACTATATTGTTCGTGAAATGTTTCTGAATTTTTTTCGTCTTTAAACTTGTAACAGAAGTTCCTCTACAACATTTCTGATCAACCAACCTTTTCCAAACACTATTATCACCAAAGATCACTTCAAAAATGATTACTTCCACTACCGTTCCTTCCCAAAAACGTAGGCTATTCAGAATAGCTGGTCTTGTCCGACCCGGTGTTTGATCCTGGAGAAGAAGCTGTAGTGTTTTCGTTCTTGTACAGATCGTGAACAGGACCCATCAAAGACAGATAGTCTGTAGGTGGTCTAATAACTGTTGGTAGGTATCCAGTACCTGCGTAGGGAGCTGACAGGAACCTTCTCGAAGGACTGTACCTGTGGAAGTTTGGAGGCGGACCTAGAGGGGAAAAGGCTGATGGAGCTGATATTTCCTCATGAGAACCGCTGACCATGAGCTCCATCGCTTGCAAGACGTCGCCTTTGCATCTGTAAAAAAAGAAAAGTGCTCAACCCAGGTGGATATTGAATTGATTAAAATAGTTGATTAAACTGGTTGAAACGTTGCCTATATTTGTTGCTGATAATCTGTAGATGCTCAAAGTTATTCATTACTCATCTGATACTGAATTATTACAATGCGATTGATATAACTTTCTGAACGCTCTGGTGGTATAAACTTATTGCAATTGAATATGAACAAATGTCATACATTTACTTCATTACGTAACAAAAATCACAATAATAGTCCTTATAGAATCAAGCAATCGGACCTGGAAACATCAAATACAATAAATATTTAGGAATCACTTTTGCCCTAAAAATGTCATTCAAATCCCACTTTGCAAATGTTACTTCTGGAGCACTGAAAATGTTATGTTTCACTCTTAGATCTGCAGAGGAATTATCTTTCTATCTTCCTTAAAAATAATATATTGCTCAATTGTTAGATCAAAGATTGAATACAACTCCACAATTTGGTCCCTTCATATAGTGTGTATATTGATATGCTTGAAAGTGTTCAAAACAAGTTTTTAAGGTTAGGTTAGGTTAGGTTACGTCCAAAGTGAGTGGGTCTATTTGGCCCTCCACCGCAACCCTCAAGAGTTTATTATGGCACACACCTATTCACACTCGGCCAAATAAACCCAGCTTCTTAACGAAGCCGACTAGTGTATATAAAAGATTAGAATAATATCTTATGCTAATTCACAATATATTCAATGGTAGCATTAATTCTCCGCAGCTTGTAGAACTTATAACTTGATATGTGAATCCAAAGAGAACAAGAAATACAGAAATCTTCTGTATTTCTACAGAAATCTTCTGTATTTCTTGTTCTCTTTCATCATATTAACTGAGTCTATTGAATCATACAGAATGTGTCTATAGGTAGACTTTTGAGACTTGCCCAACATTTATAATGTGGATTTAAAACTTTTTAATTCTTCTTTGGAATCATTTAAAATGATGGTGAAAAAATTGTAATTAATATGTTTTATTTACATCTAGCTGATAGTTTTCATATGTGTGATTTTGTTAATTACAGGCCATGTCTATAAATAAATAAATATAACCTTTGTAGACTGGTCAATTTGAGGGACACAAATATCAGTTCAATATTTTGTTACAAAATTAGGCTCTTTAGAATCCTTATTCGAATTTCCAAGTATGAATTTTCAAAAGTATCTCTCAGATCTTCTTATGATTACTACAAAAAAATGACAGTGTCAACAGATATTGTAGAAAAAATGAACATATGTCAATCAAAACAATTGGAATAGGGGAATTTACAGGAGATACCAGCTTTTTTGACGTTCTACACTACCATCATCAAACGAAAAATATGGAAAATTCTAAAAAAGAAGAAATAAAAAAATGAATGGAATAAAATCTTTTCGCAAAGATGTGAAAGTGAATGTTTGAACGATATGTTATAGTGACAAGAGCAGAGTTGATTCAGCCGGTGTCATACAGTTCTAATGTTATGAACGAAATAAGTGCCTTATAATGTTGTTCATGAGGAGATGAGACAAGTGCCTTCCTTGTCTCGAAACTTCGAAGCACACCATCAAGGATGACAGTTTTACATTGTATTGATGCTCCCCAGTATATTACGTTGTGTAGCATTCCCATGAATGATATAGGTTTCAATTCAATATCGAATGTTTAGAGTACGAACTGAATGGGAAAAAGTGATTTTCGTGATTCAATGTTAATATGAAAGTTGCTTTTTTGAAAGGACTTTTTCCTTTCATGTAATTTAATATTCACTATGGATTGTACCACAAGTTATTACACGTATCGCTTTGTCAATAAGGACTATCTTGGACAACAAAGCACAGTTTTGATTGATTGATTGAAGTATTTGTTTAGAAATTGGTTTTTATACCAGTTACTCTTATAATCCAATTGCTTTGAGTTTGGTTAATAGCAGATGATGATCAATTGCATCAAATGCTTGCACAGAAGCTGGAAAGGAAGATAAACTGGGTGGTAGGAAGTCTCAGGAGAAGCTTGGTCGACCGAATATTGAATACTGTCACTGATAGTGACTGCCTCAAAATATGTTCTTGCCCTTTTTGGGTAGATGTTGAACTCAAGCAATCTTTTAACAAGTAGTGAACGTTCTTTATTGTAAGACGAGTTGAAAAACCTACAAAACATTGCATTTCTAAGGTTCGGTGACAGCTACTCCATTGGGATCAAAAACTTTGTTGATGTTGATTTGTTTCAACAATTGTCTAATAGTGCAATGCCGAAAATTAATAGCTGACATTTTGGATTGTACAATGTCAAAACTGAGTGGTTTTTTCTTCAAAGGTACACTATGGAGGAAGATGCCAATATTTCAGTAAGCAAATTTGTTTTTCTACCTTTGTTTTTGCTGTTGAACCAATAAGATCGAATTCAGTTATTCTCAAATTGGATTCGTTGTAGGCGTTAACAAATTTATTGGCCCTGAGAATTTTACACCACTGCTGGTTTTTTAGAGGTGACAGCTCACTCGCAACATATTTTGAACTGTTGATTATAGTTAGAAGGTCGCTTCTTTGAAGAATAAATCTAAGCTTGAAGAAGTTTCATCAGAAACATGTCTATGCCTCTCCAGATTTGAAAAAAAAAATAGCATGCAACCTTAGAAAGAAGCTGACGATTAACAGGTTGCCATCAGTCCATCAGTCAAATATTGAGCAGACTCATTACCCTCTTTTTCTCTTACATACCTTTGTAAAAGCGCTTCCACATCAGATCTCCTTCTTCCAGGAAACACCCTCATCAAAACGTCGATGGGGCTCCTCTGGGCGGGATATTGGGGCTGAAACTGGACTGGGAACTGAGCAAACTGTTGATGGTATGGCATGAAGTTGGAAGCATGCTGATGCGGAGGTGTTTCGGGACTGGGTTGCTTCTCTCTTTTGATCGAAAGGTTTTCTGGAGCTTCACTCTGAGTATCTTCCTCGACATCTAAGTCGGGATCTGGGCTTGTGACAGGATCGGGGGAGGGGGTGGGGGCTAATAACGTAGGAGGGTTGTTCAGAGGGGACGTCTGTCTACTCCTTTTGACTTCTTCTTGGTCTGAATCGGATTCCTCCAAGGAACAGTCTTCTACGTTTATTCTCGGCCTTTTCAAAGCTGAAACAAAGAAAATTCTTCATGAAATGTTTTTTAGTCTACTCAAATTCAGCTTAAATGAAAATGTAGTTTCCATGGTAGGGATGATTTTTGGGCAAAATTTGTAAATACAACGAAATTACTGAATAATTAGGTCCATCAATATTCTATATAACACAGGAGTGGACTTTTCAGTTTGTCATCCAAAAAATTTATTGAATTTTCTGATGAATTATTTTTATTAAATTTTCAGATTGTGAAAGGTTAAAAATCTAGAAAAAAAGCAAGAAATGTCAATTCCTTAATAATATGGAATAATAGCACGAAATTGAAGTGGACGAAAATCAGAGCCAAATTTCATTTTTTTTTATAAAAACCATGATCATAGAATTGAAATTCTACCATGAATGTTTGAAGGTGGTTGACAATGTTTCGTGGTGCATTTCATTAGTTCGGACTTCCATTGTCTAATATGATATAAATCCATTTGAAATCCCTGAAAGAATCTAAACAATTTAAAAAGATTTGCTAAAAAATGTGTTAGGAATTACACGTTGAAAGGTAAGACCTCGTTGATTCTTAGCTCGCACAAGTTTCTCAACTTCTGAGAGTTATCGTTCGTATGGGAGCGACAGCTGATTAACGGAGAAACGGATTTTAAACAGATTTTTAAACAGAAAAAAAACTGAAATTACAATGAAATAAAATACAAGCAACGAATAAAAATGAAAGTATCAACAAGAAATGAAAATTAAAAATTATTAACAAGAAATGAAAATTAAAAGTTGAAAGAATTCAAGCCAAGTTACTTCACGACGTTTCGATTATTAGTATCCACAATCATCTTCGGGTGATGACTGATGATGGAGGTTCATGACTAAGAGGTGGTAGCGGTATGACAGTCCTCAGATATCAGTCCCGCCCTTCACGGTGTACCCCTACCTGGCTGGGGTGGGATGGATGATAAAATTGTTCATCCTTCAACAGGGGACATGAGGGCCTCATTTCTCAGAGTGTCGGGGCCTTCTATCGGGAACGGTCATATACAGCATAATCTATAGCTTTCCTAACTAACTCCAAGATCTGACTATTTATAGGTCATTCCAGTGCTTTCTCCGCTTTATCGGTTTCAGCAGGAGCTGTCCATTTGGCGGGAGTTGGTCGTGTTCCCCTTGATTTTAAGTTTCCATATGTTGCGTATCTCTACGCTTGCTTGGCTAAATGCGTTGTTGGACAACATATATGCGGTTTCTTTGAATTTTCTCCTAAACCAGTGTTCCTCCTTGTGGATGATCCCAGTTTGAGACCACTTGATGTTATGTTGTTGAGTCCAAACATGCTCTGCTATTCCTGATTTGCTGGTTTCTCCTCGATGTGTGTGTTTCTTGTACTCGGCAATGCGAACTTTCAATGGCCTCCTAGTTTCACCGATGTATGATTCTCCGCACTCGCAGGGTATCCGGTAAATGCAATTTTTAGAATCGCAGTCCGCGTTTGGTGGCCTGGTTTTCGTGAGGCTGCTACGGATGGTGTTTCCAGATCTGAAGCAGGTATAAGTACTGATTCTGGCGGCTTCTCTTCCTTGTGAAGCCCTTGTTGTCTTATAGCTAAAACCTGTTACACCATCACTTTGGAGTAACCATTCCGTTGAAGGTAATTTTTGATGATGCCTAGTTCCTTTTCGAGACCTTCCTTTGCATTACAGAGCCCGAAAGTACGGTCTAGTAGAGTCTTGATGATTTCTCTTTCAGTCGATTGATGGTGGTTGGATTCCTGGTTCAGATACTGTCCTGTGTGAGTAGATTTTCGATATACAAATGTTTTCCATTTAGTGTCGGTCCTCTTCACCAATACATCTAAGTATGGCAATTGGTTTTCGACTTCCTTCTCTATTATGGAAGTGATGGAAGGACTTACGTTGTTGATGTCCTTCAGGAAGGTGTCTAGTTCGGCATTCTCATGGTCTTTTAGCTGATCTTTCTGATTTTTCAGATTCTTTCAGGGATTTCAAATCAATTTATATAATATAAGACAATGGAGGTTCAAACTGATGAAATTCTACCATGAATATTTTCTTCTTACCTGATATACAGGGCGTTTCATTTGAAATAATAGCACGAACTCAAATTGAAGTCGACGAAAATCAGAGCAGAATTTAAAGCTTTTTTGATAAAAACGAATCATGATCGTAGAATTGAAATCCTATCATGGGTGTTTTCTTCGTTAATCATGAATCACTTAATGATTTTTTTCGAAACAAAAAATAATAACTTTGAATGTGGCATAAAATTTTTTTTAAAGTGGGCCGTGTTGAAATTAATCGAGTCTCAGGCGCTTAGCTGCCTGGGTATGATCTTTCTCGTACTGACGAGAGGTAATATTTCAAAACCGCGGTCTGCAGGTGATCTACTTGAATAATTTCATCATGGTCCTGCTCAAATGTCTGTCGTAAATAATTCAATATCCAGCGTGGTATTAGCCAAGGAAGTAATTGTTTTCCGCCAGACGTTTACCAGAGCCTACTGTGTAGGAAGTTGGGAGAGGTTGATATTTCAAAATTTCTCCATAAAAGTAATATAATATTAAATATTATTCATATCTAAAATAGTTTTTCATTTAGGATTGTTACCTTCTACAGATCTATAAAGTAATCAGCATATTGAATTTGAAAATGAATTCAAATGTAGAAAGGGCAAAAAAGTAGTGCATTTCATAAATCAGCTTTTAAAAAAAACTAATTTGTTAGTGACTTGAATTTATAAAATTTCGCATACATAAATGAATCACTGGTAAACACACAGTTTGCTGTCGATTTTTGTTTTTACTGTTTCCAGGTAATTTGGGTCTGCTGAATCCAAAAATGCCACCAGATTTGCTCCATCAGTTCGTTTTCATAAAATACGACAACAGATCACATTTCTAACAGATAGGGTAATTTACCGCAGCACTACCTACATATATGTAGTGCTGCTACCCATCAAATAAACGAAACACGAATAAAAAGTAAGATATTTATTGTACAACAATATACTTACAAAAATCATCACACATATCTGCCAAAAAAACTTAACTTTTCATGTAACCTAATTTGGCGTCACCTAAAAACTTCCTTTCATATGATTTTCTTGCGGAGGCTTTAAAAGGACGGTCCCTTTGAAGACTTCAGCAGTAATTCGCCATCATGTGAGTGTCCTACCTCCCCTGATACCTCTCTTCCATCGTTTTGATATATTGGTGGAAGCGTTCCCCTTGTTCCTCACTAAGGTCACCAAGATTTTCTGGGAAACGGTCTGAGTGGCTGTGGAGTTAATTAATTTCAATACTCATATGACAACCGTGTTTGTTGAAATTGTTGAGCATTTCTTCCACTAAATTCCGGTATTTTCCGATTTATTGTTTCCAAGAAAATTTTCCACAACTTTCACAAAAGAGCACCATGCATTACACTCAATTTAAGTCATCGAGACTGTAAAATGCGAATCTTTTATAAGTTGTCGTATCTGAGGCCCATCAAATATTCTGGCTTCCAATTTTTCTTTTCTGAGTGCATGGAATTTGCTGGACAAGTATTCAAAACAAGGACGATTCTGGTCTAAGGCCTTTACAAATTGTTTCATCAGCCCCAGTTTAATATGTATCGGAGGTAATATTATTTTCTCTCGGTCGACCAATGCTTCGTTAACTACGTTAGCTTCTCCTTGAACTAAAGCATCTCTAGAACACCATTTTCTTCTACTCCAGTGTTGGTCCTTAGCCCTGCTATCCCTAAGACACAGGAAACAAGGATATTTTGTATAGCCACCTTTTGTTGTCTCACCTTAAAATCAACACAGATCTCCCACTGATGTTGGTCATACTTGATGTTTTTTAGCACCAGCGATATTGTTTTATATTCTTCATTCAGTTTTGTAGAATGCCCAATTGGTATACTTCCATATTTGTTGCCATTATGTAGAAGGACACATTTAAAACTTCGTTTGGAACTGTCGATAAAAAGACGCCAGTGATCTGGTGTATACTCCGATACACCCATTTTTTTCTAACAGTCCTTTAATATTGTTACAAAAAACCATATCATCTTGCTGAGAAAGAAAAAGGCAAAAGATCTTTTTCTCTATTACGGTAGTATGTAATTTTGATGTCTCGATAAAGAAGTTTTTTTTTCCTTTAGTCTGGAGGCAAGCAACTCGAAAGAATTCTTTTGCAGGTTCAAATATCTAATAAGATCGCTTAGCTCTTCCTGAGTAAAGCGCTCAGGACTTGTTGAATCCTCTTCAAAATCACTGTCGTCTTCCTCAACTGTATTAGTCTGTAGTTCGTCAGATAACGTTTCGATATTATCCTCTGATAACGTAGGTAGCTAAATATTGCTAAATATTGGAATGGGTATCTGGTCAAGCTGATGTGGAATTGGTCTTATTGCTGAATCCAGATTAGGATATGTCCACGTATGTCGATTGTTACGATTAATGCACTTTATATTCACAAGACAGAGATAGCAATCGTCAAAATGATTTTTTGGTTTCCTCCAAACTTTGAACATTTTCGTTGCCCTTTCGTCCACTGTCGCAAGTTTTCAAGACAAGTTTTGCACACTACATGTGGAGCCCAGGATTTATCTTGATCTCTTAAATGAACACCAAAGTAGGTTTGATATGCCCTTTTTATAAAATCACAAACTGGTTTTCTACTTTCCTTTATAATGTACTCGCCACATTTGTAGCAAAAAACGTTCGGGTTATTCACTCTTGCAACGAAACTCAAATTCAGACTAAATTTTTCAATGGAATGTAGTCGACTTTATAGGAATTTATTATGGCCATTTCCGAGAAAGTACTATTTACTTATGGGACAATAGGTAAGAAGCAATAAGCGCTAATTTCATGTTATGGGCATTTCCAATAAGTACACTTCAACACTTCAATTAGAAGTCATTAGTATGCATTTGTCTTAGAATTTGTTAATGTTTTAAACATATTGCAATTATAGTGGTGGAAAGTACAGAAATGTAAGAATATTTA